ATGCCACCAAAACAAATCACAACATAATGAATAAAAAGTGTAGTAGTTGTATAGAGTGCTTTATTTGGAGATATCTTTGTACCACAATATACTACTCAGAGCCTCTCTATTCATTTCTACTCTACATTGAAAGCTGACTCGTTTTCTTATTAACCAATAAGATGTTGTCATTTCCGCACTTGAACACCGTTTTCTCACTAAAAAAAATCATCACAAAAATCAATCATCGTTTGTAGCATTCATAGCGGATATCCGAATCGGGTAATATCTATAAACCCGAAATCGTTTTTTTATCTTCCGTCTCTTTTTCCTCATCGGGAGCTAACAATTGCGACGTTAAATAAACGACATTTTGTGTAGCAATTTTCTTCTTGTAAGGTTACATTCAATAAACTCAATACCCAGGTTGTAATCAAGTTGTCACGAAAGGTGATACTAGCTCTTGGAATAAATTGTGAGGCAAATTGTAAAATGAGTTTCTCTATGAAGATGCTACATTGCAGTAAAAAGAAAAGTATTGTAATGGGTACTAGTTCATAGTGGGTTCAGACCTTATTCTGTCAATGACAGCTGAGAGAAGTAAGCGAAAGTAAGATTTCTGCTGATATAACGAGAGTCAGTGTTGGCGACAGATAGTGTCGAACTTAAAGAGCTTACCTTTTTCAAAAGCTAGAAGTACCAAATTTCATTGGCATAATAGATATATCTTTGTTTATTGAAATCATATGTAATAAAAATCAGTAGTAACGGCATCCAATTCTTCGCTACTAAATTTCTCCTCCTCCTCTTCCTCCTTATCTGAGTCTATGTCACTATCCAATCCCAACAACTGAGTATTTCGCCTTGTGTACATCAAAGAGTTGATTTGTTTAACTGTATCATCTGATAATGTCTTTATATCCTTCAACATTTTGATTCCATCTAACCAAACAAATCTGTTAACCTCGGAATCCGTGTAAAATGATAGTAACCTCTTTTGATTTGCGCCAACTATGGTGAGCTTTTCATACGAAATGGTTCCCTTTATTGATATCAACATGGAATATTTTTTTTTATCCTCTTCTCCAAGAGCCTCACCAATAACAGTTGAGTTTACATCGTATATATCTGTTAGTTTTACTCCACCAGCCTCTTCCAATTCTTCAAAACTAGGGCTAAATGATGGCTTCTCAGCATACTGCTTGAAGTAGATAAACTTTCTATTGGGCGATAAAATAATGTAGTAGTATTTTGACTTTGGGTCAGCCCGAACCCTGGGGTTGAAAAGAGATTCTCCGAATTTCTCGGTAAACACCCACGATCCTTTTAATAACTGTATAACCCTTTGCTCTGCAACAAACTTCCAAACTTGTTTTCTTAATTCCTCATTAAACACCAGAAGCCTGCTTTGCCATTTGGTTGTAAAGTTTTCACTGATTTTGTTCGCTTGAATGTGTCTCATTTCGTCGCTTGACTTTGAAGAAGTGATGTCAAGGCATTCTTCAATACTCATTCCTCGATCCAAATTTACTTCAAAGCTTTCAATATTCGAAAGTAACAATTGAAATATTTTGTCAATATCCAGCTTATTATTTGATTGAGCTTTTGTTTCTTGCCATAAATTCAAGCAAATATTCATTGAACTGTAGATTAGCAACTCATAGCTCAAAACTGGAAACTTGGAATTTGTATCTAAAATCTTGATCCACATTTTTGAGCACCGTTCAATGAATAGTGCAAGTGGAAATGTACGCATGTGATTGCTCATCATCAACTCTTCGTGAAATCTCTTTTTAAAAGTAAAATTTGGGTTTTTCAAGAATATTTTCAAATCCATTGCTAGTAAAATGGAAAAATTGTCTACAATGTATTGTCTGGGATTGTCGGTGAACCCAGATTTTATGTACTCCTTTGTCGTTGCTTGTGTGCCAAACTCGTTCAATGAAACTTCTAAAAAGATGAACAAGTTATTCAACAAAAGTTGATGGGACTTTATTGACAAGTCAAAAGATATTGAGTTAAGATACTGATTCAATTTGCGATAGGAAGCCCTCAAATGGTCAATAGTCTCAACAAAGACTTTTTCCTCGTTGATATTCATCATGTTATCGATTGTGCTAAAAAACTGAGCATGCTTCAACCTTGCTGCTATGGTAATAATACCCGAGTAGTCAAATTTGACGGCCTGGTTGATTAGATCTGTAACCAATTTTATCGAGTTGAGTATAATCTTGTTATCGGGAAGATACAACTTTGTGGCAATAATATCGATAGCGTCAAGAAACCCAATCAACGACTCATACAAGGGCAAAAAATGTGCCAATGATTCCGTTTCGAATACGGCCCCAGAAATGGTAATAACGGCAATCTTCAATATAGCCTTGTATGTCTCAGAAGACATATTTATGCTGATAATTGATAGCAAGGTTCGAAACAACTCATGGTTCAAGATTTGGCCATAACTATCGCTTATGACATTAGCACCACCAGCACCATTAGCACCATTAGCACCATTAGCACCGCCAGCATTCGCGCCACCAGCATTAGCACCACCGCCACCAGCAATACAATCGAGCAATTTGGCCAACACGACTATCGAATTGACTTTTTCCTGTTTATCCTTACCGAGGATATTAGTCTTGAGTACATTAGCATAGCTCAAAGCTGACGATTCGTCAAGCTTAGCCTTATTGATATTGTTCTTGCTCAATATCTCATTCAACTTATGGTTAATAGTTCTAGAAGACTCCATTTCATACTCACAAATAACTATCCCTCTTTAAGCTATCCCTCTTTAAGCTATCCCTCTTCAAGTTATCCCTCTTTAAGCTATCCCTCTTCAAGTTATCCCTCTTTAAACCTATATCCCCTGCTTGTATTCCAAGATCCATTCAATACAAATCTCGTTAAGAAAGGTTTTTCAATTTTTTTTTCAATGTTACCCAATTTGCTAAATTAGGGAAGGCGGCTAACAAAAGAATTTTTTCAAGGCGTAGAGATTGATGAGATTATTCACTTGAGTTGATAGGTTCAAACGACACTATCGAGCGAAGCGAGATAGTGGAGAAGACTGACTGATTACTATTGACTAATAGTGGAAAGCCTCTGTACCTTTTTGGAGCACACTGACTGATTACTATTGACTAATAGTGAAAAGCCTCTAACTTTTTTGAAGTAGTGATATAAGGGTCAGCTAGCAAGTATCTTTATATACAAGTGATACTGGAATAGCTGGTAAGTGCTTTCAAAGCCAGTGATAGGTAAGTAGCTAGCAAGTGCTTTTAAAGCCAGTGATAGGTAAGTAGCTAGCAAGTGCTTTTAAAGCCAGTGATACGTGAAGTAGCTGCCCAATACCTTTTCATTCAAGTGATACTGGAATATCTGGTAAGTGCTTTTATTCAGAGTTACTTGGAATAGCTAGCAAGTGCCTCTTTAAGTCAGAGATACGTGAATTAGCTGGCAAGTGCTTTTTTGAACTAGTGATACTGGAATAGCTGGTCAATACCTGAATAGCTGGCCAATACCTGAATAGCTGGCCAATACCTGAATAGCTAGCCAATACCTGAATAGCTAGCCAATACCTGAATAGCTGGTCAATACCTTTCTTCAGAGTTACCTGAATAGCTGGTCAATACCTTTCTTCAGAGTTACCTGGAATAGCTAGCAAGTGCCTTTTGAAGTAGTGTTACTGGAATAGCTGGCCAATACTTGACTAGCTGGCCAATACCTCAATAGTTGCCCAATACCTGAATAGCTAGCCAATAACTTTATTCAGAGATACCTGGAATAGCTAGCAAGTGCCTTTATTCAGAGATATTTGCGATACCTAGCCAATACCTTTTGATATTTGCGATACCTAGCCAAACCTTTTGATACTTGGGATACCTAGCCAAACCTTTTGAAACTTCCAATACCTAGCCAAACCTTTTGATATTTGCCATAGCAATAGGGATTATAGGGACTGATCTCAAAATGAGTTTTCTAAGAAGGGACAAGTCAAAGACAGGTTTGTTTTCTGCTGGTCAGAAATACTATGAGGATCCACCTTCACCTACATGTGAGCTCACGTCCAGTGGAGCCTTTTATGACCCGTCAAAGTCGTCCTCGTTTCCCAATTCCAATATCTTTTTCAAAAACGATGCTTCTGGTGCTGGTGCTGGTGCTGGTGCTGGCGGTGCCGGCGGTGCTGGTGACATTGAGTATACTTATCACGACCATCTTGACAATGAGTATTCGCCACGCTCATCTATAGTCTCAATGAGCCATCCGGCTCCAGGCAATTTAAAAGACAACTACAAGGGCATTCATGCAAACAGTAGAGGTAAAAGTGTCGGCAACATTCCACCACTATTACACCCAATTAAACCAAAATTCAAAAAGAAGAGCAGCTCGCTATTTAACAAGCTAATCAGCTCGAGAAAAGATGGCACTGAAGATGATGAAAAGAAAAAGTTTGCTACATCTTCGGAAGCTTCCATATCACCTCCACAGTCCTTGTCGTCTTCGCGAGCAAACTCAATCTCCGAAGAGCATCTGCAGCATCTACAGCCGGCACCACTATCATTACAACCATCTTCACACCAACATCAACGCAAGAGCAACTCGTCAACGTCCTCGTGCCACTCAAAGCACAAGATTAGAATTGCTTCATTGACAGATTATCACCCACACCACCCTTCCACAGTACTGGCAAACCTGTTGCAAATGTCCCAGCCAGACACTTTGTATAACTTTCGAAAAGGATACGATTTTGCGTCCCCGCTGCCAGGAACATCTCATAAGGAGCCCTCGTTTTCCTCGCTACCTTCGTCGAGTCCTTCTGATAAAATGATTTCATTAGATTTGAACCTTGATGAGATACAGGATATCGTGAAAAGCAACGAAACTGTTGCACCTAAACAAAACTGGAAAGCGCCTGATAGTTGGGATGTAAAAGCTCCAAAGACTGAGGAGATGATCCTGGTGCAACTGCAGCAGCAACTGATGCGAGATGAGCTATCCAAGGAGACAGCAACGACAGCAAACACAATAGCAACGACATCAACGTCATCAACGACGACGACTGCTTTGGTATCAGTAACGAAAACATTGCCTCTGCTTTATGGTGCAAGAGAATCATTGCATGTTGTAAACACTGTCGATCCAACACCCAATCATATAATTAGGGTATTCAAAGAGGATGGTACATTCACAACCATATTATGTTCTTTAGAAGCAACCACTTGTGAGTTACTTGCAATTGTTCAAAGAAAGTTCTTTTTGGAGTCTGCATCGAATTATCAGTTAACAGTGCATATTGGTAATTCCGTTAAAGTGTTGGAAAGTTTTGAAAAACCAATAAAGATCCAATTGGGACTCTTGTTGCTCAGTGGATATAATGATGATGACAATTTACGAATTATTGGGAGAGGCGATTTATCTTATGTCTGCAGATTTATTGTTGAGAACATCTACTTGCGGAGTTTAACACATGAAGAAGAGGTTGCTTTGTCCAAAAACTATGTGGATGTCAACATTTCTTCTTTAAACTTGAAGAACATACCAATTATTTTTCATCAACATACCTATGAGATTGAAAAATTGAATGTTTCTGAAAATCCCTCCATTTACATTCCTTTGGACTTTATTCAGTCATGCACGAACCTAACTGTTATAGACTCGTCTCGAAATGGGAGCTCCAAGTTCCCAATCAATTTCCTTGAAGCCACAAACTTGACAGATCTCAATCTTGAAATGAACTTTTTGGATGAACTCCCTATGAATATCAATTTATTGGAAAACTTGACCCACTTGAAGCTCAACTCTAATCAGCTAATATCCCTTCCCAAATCATTTGGCAAACTTTCAAAATTAGTCTCCCTCAATTTGTCTTCAAACTACTTTAATCAGTATCCTGAACCTGTAAATGATTTGCAAAATTTAATCGAACTAGACTTGTCTTATAATGACTTGTATTATTTACCAAACTCAATTGTTAATTTAAAAGCTTTACAAAAGTTGAACTTGTGCACTAATAAACTTTCCAAAGTTTTGCCAAAGTTTTTCAGCGAGTTAAAGTCTTTGAAAAGATTAGATATTCGATATAACCAGATTTCCAATGTTGATGTTTTGGGTCAGTTGCCAGCGTTGGAGGTGTTGTATGCATCGAGGAATAATATATCAGGATTCTGTGACCAAATGGAAAATCTCAAATTGCTTCATTTTGATAAGAACCCAATCACCTTGCTTCAATTTGTTAACCCATTACAGATGCTTAACGTTTTGGACTTGTCTAAAGCAAAAATCACATCTATACCTCCTGCATTTATTGAAAATATCTCAAATGTAGAAAAAGTGGTTCTTGATAACAATCACTTGGTTATTTTGCCCAACGAAATTGGGAATCTCAGCAAGCTTACGCACCTTTCAATATATTCCAACAACTTACAATCAATACCAGTGACAATAGGGAATCTCTTCAATTTGCAACACTTGGACCTTCATTCAAATAATATTCAATCTTTGCCATCTGAAATCTGGAATTTGCAGTCTTTAACAATATTGAATATTGCCAGCAACAATCTCACAGCATTTCCCAAACCACCATTTGCAATTGCCAAGAGGATATCCTCATCAACTAACTTGGTGGATTTACCAACGCTATCCCGATCCCTAGCTGATAGTTTATCAGTCTTGACTATTGCCGATAACAGACTAAATGACGACTGTTTTGAGCCAATATCTTTTTTGATTAGCCTAACGTCATTGAATGTTTCCTATAATGATTTAGTTGAGATTCCTGAAGGATCCATTGTTAATTTGGTAAAATTAAGGGATCTATACTTATCGGGGAATGAAATATCTACCCTCCCGGATGAGCTAGTCCAACTTAAGACGTTAAAGTTATTATACATAAATAACAACAAGTTAATCACCCTTCCAGCAAAACTTAGTCAATTGAAGAATCTAAGCCATTTTGATGGTGGCTCCAACCAGTTATATTACAACATATCAAACTTTCTCTATGATTGGAATTGGAATTCAAATAAAAAGCTCAAGTTTTTGAATCTTAGTGGAAACAAGAGATTTCACATCAAGGATATCAAGCATACTCAAAATGAAGAGATGAATGGTTTTCTTGGTTTAAAGGAATTGAAAGTGCTTGGGTTGATTGATGTTACCCTTACAACCACTTCACTTCCTGAACAGTCGATCGAAAAGAGAGTCCGCACAACGGGATCAGAAATTGACAATATTGGATATGGAGTTTCCGATACAATGGGTGGTAGAGAATTTGTTTCCAATAGAGATTTGTTTATTCAAAAATTTAGAGGAAACGAAAAGGAGTTACTCGTATGCTCTTTTGATGGGAAACATGGTTCGCCAAACCACGGACACAGAATATCTGCTATCGCAAAAGGGATGTTTGCATCAAGCTTTGCAGAGGAATTGATGAAAGTAAACGATGAAGATGACAAGGTTCATATTGCTTTGCGAAGAGCATTTTTAAATTTCAACAAGGAAATAAATGGAACATTGTTGGCCAAAAAGGACAATACAATTATGCCACTCCCCTACAAGTCAAAGGACTTTAGTGATTTGAATTTAACCGACGATGCGAGAAGTGGAGCTGCAGTGACGGTCATCTATATTAGAGACAAGAAATTGTACAGTGCAAATATTGGTGATATCGAGGCATTGCTTTGTCAAAACAATGGAAATTTCAAGGTGTTGACAAATGCACACAAACCAACGAACCGTCAAGAATTTGAAAGAATCAGAGCTGCTGGTGGATACGTATCTGGAAGTGGGGATTTGGATGGTGACTTGGCAATTTCTCGCGGTGTCGGCTTTTTTTCATACCTTCCTCATACGCACTCTGGACCGGATGTCAACGAACTTACACTTACTCCAGCTGATGATTTGTTAATAATTGGTACCAAAGTGTTGTGGGATTTTCTCACATATGAGTTTGCCGTCGATATCATTCGACAAGATAAACACAATCCTATGGTAGCTGCGCAGAAGCTAAGAGACTTTGCCATTTCGTATGGTGCTTCGGACAAAATCACAGTGATTGTGTTGACATTTGGTGAAAAACCTAAACAGAACTCGTTGTACAAGAACGTTGGACGCGAAGCTGAGTTTTTTGCAAAAAAGAGGAGAGATAGACAAATTGGCGGAGATTCTGCACTTCGGAGATTGGATAATGAAATTGAACCCCCAACGGGAGAATTGGCATTGGTATTCACCGATATCAAGAACTCCACCTTGCTCTGGGATACGTATCCAGTACCGATGAGATCAGCTATTAAAACTCATAATTCCATAATGAGACGCCAGTTGAGAATTATTGGTGGGTACGAAGTCAAAACAGAAGGTGATGCATTTATGGTTGCATTTCCATCGCCAACGTCAGCATTGTTGTGGTGCTTTAATGTTCAGCAGAATTTGTTGACTGCTGATTGGCCGACAGAAATTCTCGAGACTGACCAGTGTTGTGAAGTGACCGATGGCAAGGGCAACATTATCTACCGCGGTTTGTCTGTTCGTATGGGAACACATTGGGGCTCTCCTGTTTGTGAGCCAGATATTGTTACTGGAAGAATGGATTATTTTGGACCCATGGTGAATCGAGCTTCAAGAGTGAGCGCGATTGCGGATGGTGGACAAATTGCAGTTAGTTCAGATTTCCTTGCAGAAATGAAGGCTTTAACCGCTATTCATGAGGACATCAAAAGTAACAAAAAGACAATTAGTGATGCGTACCATGGAGAAGAAAATGCCGGAAGAGTTATAGAGAGAGAGTTGAATGCAATTGAAGATCACGGAACTAATTTTTACAAAATAGGAGAGAGAAAGTTGAAAGGTTTGGAAACGCCAGAGATGATAACTTTAGTATATTCAAGTAGGTTAAAGTTGCGTTTTGAAATTTTCCAAAAGAGATTGGATGTGGGTGAAAATCATAGTACTCGGGTTATTGGCACCCTCCCAATGGACTGCATTGCTGCAATACACGAGATTTCATTACGTCTTGAAAATCTTTTATCGTTTATGAATGGAGGTACCTATATTAAGGAGGGATTCAAACAAACTCAAAAGACTCGGGATATTTCGGTACAAGATTTACTAAATGCAGTTACAAGAATCGAAAACTCTGTTACTACATTGTTTATAAGACAAAGGATGAATAAGGGTAAAGTTGGTTTCAATACAGAGTCATTAACGCTGGTGTTAAATGAGTTGACTGATACTTTGGCCAAAGTTCAGTAAATAAAAATATCAAAATGTTTAGGATATTAGGATATGTATTAATATTTTTTCTTAATCAGAACACACAACAGGTGTAAGCTCAAAACTCTTTCTTTGGATCATCTTCTTTCAATTAGTCTTTACTTTTGAATAGTGTTGCTGGCAGATAGTGTCGTCCTTCTTTCAATTGGTCTTTACTTTTGAACCGAGCACCTTCTTTCTCTGCTTGATCATATAAGTGTACAACATGTAAAATCCCGGAATATAAGTAACCAAAACAACTCTCAAGAACCAGCCATAATAAAATCCAGCTTGATTCAAAGACAAGATAATCAGGTAAACTTCACTAAACACGCCTGTTGGGTACAAAACATAAAATGTAGTATAACGTAACCAGGTCAACCAATGAGGTACATGTCCCATCAAGTGTTGAGCGTAGTAGAAGTATCTAATAATCTCGGTGATGGACCAACTCAAGCATAATGTAATATAGCACCAATGAGTATTTGCCGGAGAGTTCGGCAAATACTGGTGAATGCCCCAGACAAGCAATAAGCGAGAAAACACCTGGGTCACAGTAGTGACTACTGGAGACTTGACGAGTCCAGTTAAGGAATTGAAAATCTCAACAACAGCAAAAGTTTGGATCCATGTGGTGATGTTATTTGTCTTTAAAAACACAAAGGGCTGTCCTAACGTCACGGCAAGAAAAACAGTGTTGAAAAAGACAATTGACCAAAGAGATGCCGATATGGAATTGTAGGTAACTAGCCATCTATTTGCCTGCTCAGAATGCATCTTGCGTGATGATAAAGAAGATGATGTTTTGGTTTATACTTTTATATTTTTTTTTCATCTACGAGACTATAGCTATACTGAGATTCACCAGCAGCCCACTGTCGAGCAGCCCACTATCGAGCAGAGCGAGATAGTGGAGCACACTGACAAACTCTTCTTCTAAGCCTTTTCCTTGTTTAAAACTCTCCTTCTCATGCTGCCCACTAGCGAGATAGTGATCTCGATAGTGAGCTCGATAGTGGAGCAGACTAACTAACTCTGCTTCTCTTTTTAATGCCCCACTATCTCGCTTTGCTCGATAGTGAGCTCGATAGTGAGCTCGATAGTGAGCTCGATAGTGGAGCAGACCAACTAACTCTTCTTCTCTTTTTGGTGCCCCACTATCTCGCTTTGCTCGATAGTGGGATCGATAGTAGGCAGTTTAGCCCTTTCCTTGTTTAAAACTTTTCTTCTCTGTTTGATCATATAAGTGTACAAATATAGAAATCCCGGGATATACAAAGGTAAAGCGTATTTCAAGAACTTTGAGTAAAAAGGGAGTCTATTCTCAATGACCCGGTAGGAATTGTATACAGTCAAGCTCTCACAAACCAAGCCCAAAGGGTATAATACAAAAAAAGCGGAATATCTCAACCAGGTGATTGAGTATGGGACAAACCCAGACCTATTCTTCAATTTGAAAAAGTAGTAGCCATATCTAATTATCTCGGTAATTGACCAAGCCAAAATTAGCCCCGAGAATGTGAACAAGTTGTAATTTGCTGGTGACTCTGGAATAACATAGCATATCCCCACCATTATAATCAACCTAGCAAAAGATTGCATTAATAGAGTTACAAGTGGTGTTGGCACCAAACCGAGGATCGAGTGCAAAAACTCAACCAACGAGTTGAATATTTGCGTGACAAGTAAGAACTTATGAGGAATGCTTTCCTCAATTGAATAGGGGAACAGGCCATTGTAAATATTTACTATACACTGTAAGAATATATAGCTCCAAAGAAGTACCGACAACCCATTATACGCCAAAAGATATGCCTTCATCATTGTATAGAAGAAAAGAAATGGACTATTGACAAGATCGAGATGGGCTATCAACTACTCTCCCTATAGACTATTTTTTTTTCCCCAGATTTTTCATCGGCGGCTAATCTTTTAAATACCCGAGGTATGATGAACTAGTGAGCGAAGCGAGCTAGTGGTGTGGTAGAAAGGAGAGTAGCGACACTAGTGAGCGAAGCGAGCTAGTGGTGCGGTAGAGAAGAGAGTATTGCTTTCTAGTGAGCGAAGCGAGCTAGTGGTGCGGTAGAGAAGAGAGTAGCTTTGCTCACTAGTGGTGCAGTAGAGAAGAGAAAAGAGACAGTAGTAAGTAGCATGTCTAGTAACAAGGGTATATATGGGTATGGGTCCGAGGGCGGCTAGTGACTGTGCTCCACTATCGAGCAGAGCTAGTCAATATTGTAACAAGCTATAAAGTGTTGCTCCACTATCTCGCTCTGCTCGATAGTGGTCGATAGTGTCTGTTAGTTTGTGTATTTCGCCAAGAGCTCATTCAAAGTTTGCACATCACCAGCCAACATGTCCTGGTCCCAGTCAACCACCAATGGAGCTTTAAAAATATCCAGCGGTTGAGAAGGCAATAATTTGTCCTTTTCAAAATTATTTTCCAACGCATTGAATGTTTCGTAAATCAACTGGTACTCGAATTCTGAAAATATCTTATTTGACCAGTCGCTTCCATTGATTTTGCAATGCTTACCCTGATCATTGATCAAAATTGTTTGTTTCTCATTTAAAAAGGGGAAACAATTGTGTAATATCTTTTTATCTTGTTCGCTTTTGAGAAACTTTCTTACAAATATCTCATATTGATCAAATGTAGGCATTCTATTCTTCATCAAATCGATTTGAAAGTCGTATTTTGGTTTCTTGGGCAAGCTCTCATAAGTCTTGTTCAAGATATCATACAACTTATTGGATAAGGGGATTTTTGTATTGTGGAAAATCGTCACCGTTGCTGGTGAAGATTGTAACGTTTTAAAAAGGGACATACTAACGACTAAAAATGGCAGAGATAACAATAGCTGTAATAGCTGAGACAAGGGAATACTCGACAATGCTTAAAAGGACAAAGAGGTTAATTTATAGAACCTTTACTGGATAGCAAGTATACATTTTAGCTTCTCCATAAAGTAACTTGACGGGGAGAAAAAAGACAAACTCGCTAAAGACTATAGACTATCGAGCAGAGCGAGATAGTCTATCAACTACTCTATAGACTATAGACTATCGAGCAGAGCGAGATAGTCTATCAACTACTCTACAGACTATAGACTATCAAAGCTAGTCAATATTGTAACAAGCTACAAAGTGTTGCTCCACTATCTCGCTTTGCTCGATAGTGTCAACTACTCTATAGACTATCGACTGGAGCGAGATAGTCTATCAACTACTCTCTCTATAGACTAGTCTCTTTCTCTTTCAACTAGTTAACTCTACCCTGTCTCTATCCACTCTCCCTACTCTGTCTCTATCCACTCTCCCTACTCTGTCTCTATCCACTCTCCCTACTCTGTCTCTATCCACTCTCCCTACTCTGTCTCTATCCACTCTCCCTACTCTGTCTCTATCCACTCTCCCTACTCTGTTTCTATCCACTCTCCCTACTCTGTCTCTATCTACACTTGCTTTTGACTAGACTCGTTTCACTCGTCTAGTCTCTCTATCTACTCTTCTATGGGCTATTTAGCAAGGCGAGAAAATAACACTACTCTACTTTCTCTATATACCACGAGCGCAGCTCGATAGTATAAATATAACTCTCTCTATATATAACTCCCTCTATATATATATAACTCCCTCTATATATATAACTCTCTCTATCTACACTCTATCAACTGGATTCTTTCTCTTTCAGCTAGTTTCTATCTACTAGACCCATCTAGTCTCCAGTCTAGTCTCTAGTCCAGTCTCTAATCCAGTCTCTAGTCTAGTCTCTAGTTTGGTCTTCTTTTTTGCACTAATTTGACTCAAAATTAATAGTACTCTAAATATTACTACCCTACCTCTACACTATCAAGCAGAGTGAAATACTCCATATCCACTCTCTATCTATCTACACACTCTCCTCTCTCTTGACTAGACGAGTGAAGCGAGTCTAGTCCAAACTCGTTTCACTCGTCCAGTCTACACACTCTTCTCTCTTTTGACAGGACTCGTTTCACTCGTCTAGTCCACACACTCTCCTCTCCTTTGACTAGACTCGTTTCACTCGTCTAGTCCACACACTCTCCTCTCCTTTGACTAGACTCGTTTCACTCGTCTAGTCCACACACTCTCCTCTCCTTTGACTAGACTCGTTTCACTCGTCTAGTCCACACACTCTCCTCTCCTTTGACTAGACTCGTTTCACTCGTCTAGTCCACACACTCTCCTCTCCTTTGACTAGACTCGTTTCACTCGTCTAGTCCACACACTCTCCTCTCCTTTGACTAGACTCGTTTCACTCGTCTAGTCTAGTCTAGTCTAGTCTAGTCTAGTCTAGTCTAGTCTAGTCCGGACGTTAACGTCCATGAGGTTGAAAAATAAGCGCCGAATAAGAAAAAAGTGTGGAGATTTAAAATTTGCGATGAGATGATGATGATGGATGTTGAGGTTGAGTAAAGACCCTTTCTAAGAAACAAACATGTGTCGTTTTATGATATACAAGGGGAGAGAGTCCATGGTTTTGTCCGATCTACTCACTAAACCTGCACACTCCATCATCAACCAGTCTTTTGATTCGAGGCTACGGTTAGATATGCGAAATCCTATAAATGGTGATGGATTCGGCGTCGGTTACTATACAGAGCACAACAAACCGTGTGTCTTCAAGGCTATCACGCCAGCTTGGAATAATGTTAATCTAATTAATTTGTCACAATCTACCGAGTCGTCTTTGGTATTTGCGCATGTAAGAGCATCTACTCAAGGGGTTTTGTCGGAAACAAATTGCCACCCTTTCAACTTTGGTAAATTGATGTTTATGCACAATGGAGGGATATCCTGTTTCGACAAGATCAAAAAGAAGCTTATAAACTATTTGGATGACAAATATTTCCTATTCATCCAAGGTTCCACAGACTCGGAGTGTTGTTTTGCGTTGTTTTTGGATACCTTGGAAAGAATGGGCTTTGACCCCAGCTCAATAGAAACAAAGTTTTCCCATGTGGTCTTGAAAACAGCATTGCTAAAGACTATAGAGTTGATTAAAAGCTGGCAAGTCGAGGTCACTTCTGAGCCCTCCTTGTTGAATTTTGCAGCAACAGACGGTGAATCGGTGGTTGTGAGCAGGTACATCACCTCCAAGACAGATGAAGCGGCATCATTACACTTTAGCACCGGCTCGAGATTCTTTGAGTACCAACCTGGCTTATTTAAAATGGAAAGATTAAATAGATCTCAAGATGTCATATTTGTTGCAAGTGAACCGCTCACTTTTGAAAGAGGCGACTGGTTGTGTGTTCCTACAAATACATTGATAACAATCACAAACAAGAATACAGTCTTGATGCACCCAATAGAAGATGAATTTTACGATGGAGGATTAACAGAAAGATCTTCTGGCTTGGCCATAAGTAAAGGTTTGATGGGAAGCGTGCCAAAACCAGAAGAAGAGTCGAGTTTGTCTCATGATGACTCTCAAGTACATGGAAACGGAGTAATACTGCATGTGCCCCCATTGGAAAGAGAAGGAAGAGCAAATTCAAAAGCAATGGTTCATTAGATATGGATGGTTGTTTTTGATTGTTGTTTTTTGTTTGTTTTAATCAAACAATAAAAAAATACTCTATATAAAAATTAAATTAATGCATGAACGTTTTCCCATCTGTAAAATTGTCATTAGTTCCAAGCTTGGCAAATATTTATTCTTAACAACTGTTCAACTCTGATCAAGCTCCTCCTCTGATGAACTTGAATCAGAGCTTGTACTAAAATCTTCGTCAACTTTGGCATCCGCCTCTATCTTCTCGTCATCTGAATTGTCATTTCTTTTCAAAATACCCAAATTGTCATATAATGGGTTCAATTTTTTATACAGCATACCATCATCATTGGGATCGATATATTCGTCTGAATCCTCTCCACTGCTTTCGCAATCCGAATCGTCGTCGCCACTTACCTTTTCGTTATCTTCGTCTTTGTTAGAGCTTTCAAATTCACCTTCATTGCTTTTCTTGTTGATATTGATTGACGCGCTTGTCAATTGTTCAGACATGTAGTTTGAAAAGTGCTCGTCTTCATCTGATTCAGATTCATCACTGTCCAACAAGTCCTTCTTCTTCATCTTCAAAGCTTTTAAGGTACTATTTTTATCATTTATATCTCTTTCTTTTGTAACATCCGCCTCCTCCTCTTCATCATCGTCATTATCTTCTTCTTCCTCATCCACCTCCACCTCCTCTTCTTCTTCTTCTTCTTCATGCCCCTCATCCGGCACACCCCTCTCCTCGACTTCCTCTTCCTCCTCTTCCTCCTCTCCTTCCTCATCTTCATCGTCTTGAAATACTAAACCCGTTTTAACCTCCTCGATTATCTCACCCAACCCCTCATCAAATGTCGTACTCTCATCCTCCTCGTCATCATCATCATCATCGTCATTACCTCCCAAAATAGTATTGTATTTTTCTCGTGTATCATAAAGAACATTACTGACATAATCCTCCCACACATCACTCTCAATTTTTCCATTGATATACTCACTAAGGGTGTTTAATGGGAATAGCTGAACAAATTTCACAACTTCCTCAGCTATCAAAGTCAAATGACCCATAAAGCCCAACCTGAGACCGTTATGGCTTGTTTCGTAATCCGTACACAATTTTTGTCCCTCTATTATTTTGTTTGTGATATCTGCCAGATGAAACAAATCTATAGCTAGGAACTTATTGAATCCTATATCCATAGATCCGTTCAAAACCTGCTGAACAATATCAAACACAACATTGTGTAAGAAATTGTTCCATGGAAAACGGAAAAACATTGACAAAATGTTGGAGATTATTTGTGTGTCAAAGAGAGCAATCTTTAAAAAATCACCAACCACTGGATTCGACCGTATTTCTTCCTCAGACAAATTTGAATTAGCATGTGGCTCTTCTTCCTCCGTCATTTCCTCTTGCTTGTTAAACTCGTCTATTGTATCGTCTGCAGTCTCACTGTTCTTTGACGTAACATCTGATTTCAAATTAACATTCACACTCACATCATCATGATCATCATCAACATCATCAACATCATCATCATCATCATCATCATCAACACGTTCGTCAAAAGTATCCTCCTTTGGCAAAATAATAGTCTCGTTATATTTGAAGCTTATCGGATCAAACTCTTTCATCTTCTCTCGCACTTCGTCACGTTCTTTTACAACGTCGAACCCCCTGTTGTCGTTTAGGAGCGCCATATTGGAACAGTGCAACAATTCAGCCACCAACTCACAAATCTTGAACCTTTCAAACCCCAAGGGTTCTATAATACCAAAGGGTGTTCTCAATTTGGGATCTCTGTCTTCCTTCATTAACAAGTTATTGAAATTCTCAATATTTTCTCCAAACACGCGAAGTAAATGGCCCAAGTATATAGGGTCCCTTCCCGTGGGAGGATGGCTTTCCAAAGTAATATACAAAATGGGTAAAATATCATAGTCTGAGTTATTTTTCCTGATTATTTCAATAATAATTCCAACTCCGTTTGCTAAAGCGTAGCCTCCTTTAAGCATAATGTTACATAAATGGGTGATTTGCTCCTTACTGACTAACTCTCGGGTCAATTCATTGGGCCCGATCGTGGAGTTGTCAGCTGTTGAGTTAGCAGATATCGTGATTAAAGCTTTCAAAAAATCGGCCGCACTGCTTTGCTCAATTAGTAATAGTTCGTGACTCTTGCCTTTACGGGCATCATCTTTATCAGCATCGTCACCACCAGCGGGATTGTTGCAAACATCCAATGCTTGTATCAACTGTGATATCAAATTTTGGTTTTGCAAGGAATCTATTATTCCTGTTGAGTTGTCTGGTTTGTCTGTGGATATCAATTTCAACAAAAAATCCATCAATGGAGGGTTTGACAAATGATTTATAAACTTTTCCACTAAATTTGGCTGGTTTTCTATCAAGTATGTAATCATCTCGTCGCACTTCATGTCTAGCAAATGTTCCATTATTTTCATAAAGTGAGTTGATACGTGAACATCAAGTGCCTCTCTTGAATCCAAAATGTTCCATAACTTGTTGAGGTTTGCCGTAGACTCCATCACTGTATCTGTTAGAGACCAAACATCTGCACTTAGCACTTCCGATGCTAATGTCGCCCTTCTTCTAAATTTATCCTCAGGGGATTCTTCGTCTCCTTCCTCCTCCTCCTCCCCCTCCTCGTCCTCGTCCTCGTCCTCGTCGTCTTCTTCCTCATAATCTTCCTCTACCTTCTCCTTTTTCTTTTGCTCCCCTTTCTCCAATTTTTTGTCAGTATCTCGTATTTTACCTTTTTCTGTATCAGAAACACTTGAGTTTATCGCCGTTTCATCTTCACTAGAGTCGAATCCTTGGCTGTTTTTGGAAATGACAATATCCACTAGCATGCTCAACACTTTTTCCTCTCTCAAAAACTCTAAAAGCATGGGATTATTCGATAATAGCTCCTGTAACAAGTCATTCTCGTCTAGTAGTTTTATCAACAAATCATGTTGTTCGCGTTCTTCCTCTTGCCTATTTGCTGACGAGTTGCTCTGCTCTCGACTTTGGTTGTGATTCTCGAGTAATGTGCTGATATTGGAAAGAGAAGTAAAACCATTGTTGAACTTCCAAAAAGACCCCGACATAATTATTTGAAGCACCTGCCAAAATTGGCAATCTTGGGAAACCTGAGCAAAATATTAAACAATCGGTGTAAAAGTTTCTTCAAACACCACAAAATCTTGACCAAACAGATATCTTTGCAATCCTCAGATTGTCATTAAAAAAGGGGTCCTAATTCCAAGCCAAGCCAAGTCAAGCCAAGCCAATCCAGTTAAAAGCCAATCCAAACCAAGCTAAACCAAGCTAAATTGAACAATTTGCGGGGGGGGAACAAATACCACAAGCCTTTACAAGTGCAAATCCTTAAAAACTCTCCAATTCAAGCCAAACCAAGCCAAACCGAGCCAATTTAATCCAGTTCAAAGCCAATCCAAGCTAGACCAAACCTTTAGCAATTTACGGAGAAACCAAACACCAATAGCCTTTAATAGCCTTTAGCCTTTAGCCTTTAATAGCCCTTACAAGTGCAAAACCTTTAAAGCTTTCCAATTCAAGCCAATCCAAGCTAATCCAAGCTAATCCAAAATCAAGCTAGACCAAGCTAAATTTACGGGGAAACCAAACACCAATAGCCTTTAATAGCCTTTAGCCTTTAGCCTTTAATAGCCTTTACAAGTGCAAACCCTGAAAAGCTTTCCAATTCAAGCCAATCCAAGCCAATCCAAGCTAATCCAAAATCAAGCTAGACCAAGCTAAATTTACGGGGAAACCAAACACCAATAGCCTTTAATAGCCTTTAGCCTTTAGCCTTTAATAGCCTTTACAAGTGCAAAACCTTTAAAGCTTTCCAAACCAAGCCAGTGTCGTCCCACTAGTCTCTTTATACCTCTAACAAAAACCAGGTCAAAACAACCCACGAAATAATTCTCTTCTTCTTCTTCTTCTTCTTCTTCTTCTTCAATTGTTGGTTTTAGAAAAAAAAAATTTAGTGCGAAAAAAAAATGTACATAGAAACGACCGCATTATAATTTTTCAATCAATACTATAATGAAGAGGAAAATTTTCAAGAGAGGATATCATTGGAGGAAGAATAGAAAAAGGTGAGGAGTATATACTAAAAAGGTGAGGAGTAAGTACTAAAAATTTTGTATAATGATGTTGAGATCTGGTTTGAGAGGTGTAAAGGTTTTTCGACAACTCTATAATTTCTTGCCCCAACGAAACTATGGTACTGTGCCAGCTAAAACTGGTGTACCTGCTATACACCAGTCGATATCGAAGCTGGTTAAAAGAGAAATGTCGACATTGAAAGAGGTGTCGACATTGAAAGAGTCAACATTGCTGGGAAAAGAGGTGCCGGGAAAAGAGGTGTCGACATTGAAAGAGTCAACATTGCTGGGAAAAGAGGTGCCGGGAAAAGAGTTGTCGCTATTAAAGGTTTCGTCAAATGGGTCTAGAGACTTGTATGCTATATGTAGAATACATAATATGCCATATTTAGTAACTGAGGGCGATAAGATTTATTTACCCTTCAAGTTGAAGAATGTGTGTGTTGGTGATGTTTTGAACTTGAAGGATGTTGTTACCTTGGGATCAACTACGTATACGCTTAATATGCCTAGCGGGATAGATCTGTCTTTTTATACCTTGAGGGCTAGTGTACAGGAAATAACAAGAGAACCATTATATCAAGTGGTGAGAAAGAGACAGAGATGTAGGAGGAAAAAAACCTACCAGGTGGAGCCATTTCAAACGGTTTTGATAATAAATGAGTTGAAATTGAGGTGAAGTACTATCGACACTATCGATACTATCGATACTATCGAGCGGAGCGAGATAGTGTCGATAGTGGTGCAATCAAACTGCTATGTTCCACTATCGAGTGCACCACTATCGAGCAGAGCGAGATAGTGGTGCAATCAAATCAAACTGCTATGTTCCACTATGCTCGATAGTGGTGCAATCAAATCAAACCGGTGTATTCTACTATCGAGTGCACCACTATCGTGTGTTCCACTATTGAGTGCACCACTATTTCGCTCTGCTCGATAGTGGTGCACTCGGATAGTGTCGAGAGAGTTGAAGAGCCAAAATCACTTTATAGCCTTTATATCCAGCTATTGTATATAATCCTGTACAAATATATTTCAATAATCAATGTCTATTGAATTTGATTATTCTTGCCAATGCCAAAATCCACCATCGACACTAGACACTATCGACACTATCGACGCTATCGAGCGGAGCGAGATAGTGGAACGCACGATAGTGGAACACACGGGGTTTATTTGATTGCACCACTATCGAGCATAGGGGAACACATCGGTTTGATTTGATTGCACCACTATCTCGCTCTGCTCGATAGTGGTGCACTCGATAGTGGAACATAGCAGTTTGATTGCACCACTATCGACACTATCTCGCTCCGCTCGATAGTATCGATAGTCTCTTAATGTCTATTAAATTTAATTATTCTTGCCAACTCCGTCACGTCGAAATTGAAATTGTCGTTTGGCTTTACAAATGGATCGTATAGCAACTCCTCAGCAGTTGGTCTCAACTTGGGGTCAATAGTAAAGCATCTGTTAATAAATGACTCGGCTTGTTGGCTAACTAAATGTACAATATCCTTAGGTATCGGCGGTGCTTTCTTCTCCTTGCCAGCTTTGTAAATGACACTGATTGCAGCTTCATTCGACCACGGACGTTTGCCAGCAAACATTTCCAAAACAACACACCCCAATGACCAAATATCAATCTTGGCACTATACCCTTCGGCCAAATTGTCAATGACTTCAGGTGCCATCCAGAATATAGTACCCTTCATCGACATATTTGCATTGTTTGCATAAACGTCGTTATTTTTTTTGGAAATTCCAAAATCTGATATTTTGCATGTCCCATCAATGTCCAACAAGAGATTGTCCGCTTTCAAATCCCGATGTATTGTGTTATTCGCGTGTAGATATTCCAATCCCAACAATACTTGTCTCGTCAAAAACCTAATTAGCTCCTCGTCAAATCGGCCATAAGATTTAAGGCAAGTGGCAATCGAGCCTCCAGCAACATATTCCATAAACAAACAATACACGTTTTTCTGCTGCTCGCATCCTAGATACTGCACTATATTAGGATGGTCGAGATCTTTCATATTTTCAATTTCCTTGTTAAATTCATCAACATCAATTTTATTCTGCGTGTAAACCTGCTTCAAAGCAATCATTTCTCCTGTTGTCACATTCAAGGCTAGGTAAACATCCCCATACGAGCCTCTTCCAATCAACTCACCTTTGATCCAAATAAAGCTCTCGTAATTGCCATCCTTGTTTCGGAGCTTGCTAACAAACCCCTTATCTATTTCCTTGCTGGTCACTTCATAAACTTTTTGACCCCACATTTTCGTATTAGACCGCTTCAATTTCGTGCTCTCTTGTCTAGATACATTATCAGACACTACAATAGGTGTCTCTTGTTTTTGTTTCAATACTTTTCTTCGCGCCTCATTGGCAACTCCTCTGATAGTTTTTATTCGCCGAACACTAAATGGATTATTTGAAGCCGAATCCATTGAAAATTCAGGAGCATTTATTGGGGATTTATTCGCATTCGAAAATGTTCTTGATATCGTACGTTTCTTTTGTTGTTGAACTGGCGGCGCAGTTGGTGCAGTTGGTGCATCGTCATCAATTATTGGTTTATCAAGATTTGTATGGGGGAAATACCTTTCTAAATTATCATAAACTTCTTCAACTGGAGGTCGCACTATCATTTGCAGAGTCTTATGCTTCAATGGTTTGACAAAAAATTCTTCTTCTTCTACTTCTTCTTTTCCTTCTTCTTCTTCTTCTTTTCCTTCTTTTCCTTCTTCTTCTTCTTTTCCTTCTTTTCCTTCTTTTTCTTCTTTTTCGTTTTCTTCTTCTGTTTCTTTTCCTTCTTTTCCTTTATTTTCTTCTTCTTCCGTTTCGGAGTTGGTGAATGAATCTGAACCAGTTTGTGTTGTTGATATACTTGGTATACTTGAAACCCTGCTACTATTTTTCATTGGCTTAACAAAAAAGTCCTCATCGCTATTATTTCTCATGCTTATCAGACTGACTGATCTCTGAGTTCGTGTATTTTTTGATGGCAATGCATTCTGCTGTTTCAGCAACAGGACCTTTCTATCCGCAGGTGGCGGCGGGGCAGCTCTCTTTGCAACAATCAAATCAAATCTCTCATTTTTCGGATCGTTTCCTTCAGTAAACGATTTAGTCTTTTTCACATTCTTAGTTTCACCTTTCAGTGTCAGTACCGTGCTAGTAGTTGCCGGTGTCTTCTTCAAATCTGATATTGCCGATGACATGTTCTTATTGTTGTTGTTGTTGTTGTTGTTGTTGTTGTTATTGCTATTGTTGCTTAAATCAGCATCTTTCTTTTCATGTAAAGACTTCCGCATCCTCTCCGTTCCATTATCTGCTTCTTTTACTGCACCACGAAATGAAAATTCTGAGGATTCTGGTGTTATAGTAGGTTCGGGTAGTATCTGAGAGGTGTCTACTTGAAGAGCTGGTAGTGCCTTGTTCCGAGCTTCAAATGGAAATTTCAACGGAAAGCCATGCTGGCCGTATTGATTTTTTGCTTGCAAAAAGCTCTTCATACAATTTTCATCGAATTTCAGGTTCTCTTGAGTTTTACAAAGCATCTCCCCTTCCTCAAAGTTCAAATAATCTACTCTTGTGTCATTTATACTTTGTAAAAGATTCACCGGTGTAGACTTGAAACTATTTGTTTCTAATGATTTTGAATCTGATGAGTTAGTGGTGGTGCCACGAGGTGAACCAATCTCTTGCTTGACAAGGATTTTTGCCAACTCTTGCGATAAAATCGCTTTGGTAATCAACTTATCTGGAAGTGATGCTCCCTCTAACGAATTAAAGTCAGTTAAATGGAACTCAATTGTACCAATGCGTAAAAGACCAAGACTATCAATAATTTTATTTTTGACAACATTTCCATCAGCAAACTCGGTCTTGGGTATAGTCACCGGTATAAATGTATGGTTATCTTTGCTTACCAAAAATGTAACAGAATCACGATAATATATTTGTTTAGGCCTGTAATTATCGCCAATGGGAGATGTTGGCAAAGGAACAAAGTTAAATGATTCTGTGTTGTGAGCAAAAGCAGGCCTCCGCCACGGATTTGATGATGGCACAGCTGTATTTGAATCCCAACCGGGTAGTAATAGTGGTTGTGGTTGTGGTTGTGGTTGTGGTGATAATCGCGATGGTTGTGGTGGTAATCGCGATGGTTGTGGTGGTAATCGCGATGGTTGTGGTTGTAGTTGTTGTTGTAGTTGCAGAGGTTGTGGTTGTGGTTGCAGAGGTTGTGGTTGTGGTTGTGGTTGTGGTTGTGGTTGTATTTGCAGAGGTTGTAGTGGTTGTGGAGCAGAAAAAGCAACGCTATTTCTATCGGGTTGTCTATTGGTAGATTTCACAATCCCTACAGCCTTGTCACCTCCGAATTTACGAATAGTATTAAGAATCCCGCTCGACCTTTTTGTTTCTGTTTTCAAAGATTTTTTGAAATCATCTTGAAACAGGGATTTTCTCTTATCCTTGCCTTCATTAGTGCCGGTGGTTTTATGGCCCTTGCGGAAAAGTACACCATGTGATGGTAAAGGTAATTGCTGCTCCTTTGGCCTTGAATCAACGTATGAGTTTGGTCTTTGGTACGACGAATTCGATATCGATGTGGCTGACAAAGCCGAGGTCGACTTTCTATACTCGTACTTGGAATTAATCGGCGATGGTACATCGAGGGATTCACTTTCCTCCTGGACTGTTTCCTGGTGCAACAAGTTTATAAATCTTGCGATGGAGTTTAGTTCTCCATCGAGCTCCAAGTATTTCGAAAACTGTTTCCAAATTGCCGAGTCCTTATCGAAATTCTCCAATTCTAAAAATCTATTACCGGAAATTTCATTGTTTTTAAAAGTGTCCTGCCAAGACCTGTTGAACTGGTGTGCTTTCAACCACTCTATAACACTGTCGATATCCCACTTTTTTGTCGGTTTCGAGAATTGCGATTGCGTGTTCATGGCATATTTTACAAATCTTCTATTTTTGTTGAGCTGGTCGGTTGCAGACAGATTGGAAAGAGTTGAAGTATCCGAATTATGCCTATAATGTGTTGGTATTGAAAATCCCGCTAGTAAGCTTTTGGTTTGAGAGTCATGTGAGTGTTTTTTGCAAAGATCTGTGTGCTCTAAGCTCTCTGAATGTTGTAAATGCTCTAAATGCTCTAAAGGCTCTGAATTTTGTAAATGCTCCATGTGCTCTAAATGCTCTAGATGATCCGTATTGCTTTCCAAATTCACCGAGCTTTTACTATAGTTGTAACTGCCTATTATCGAGCCTATGGTATTCGAATTTGAGTGTAAACTAGCAGTAAGCGACTTGGGTGGAGACGGCGACGTTTTCATCAAAGTAATATCTGTATCGGGTGAATATTTCAACACCGGTTGTGATGTACCAAACCTTAGCCTCTCCTGCTCCTCCTTTTCCTCCTCCTTCTGTTCCATTAACCTAGGACTAGCAATATCCGATACTGGTCTTTGATACGACAAATTATGCAACGACGAGTTATAGATGATCCCATCAGAAACAATTCGCGATTGAACCATTGATGAATTTTGCCCAGCCGACGGCACCAGCACCGGCACCGGCACTTGGTGAAACTGATTGCTGGGATGTTTGATACGCTGAACATCGTAACTCACTGACCTCCTCTTATCGTAATGCACCTCACTCGAGGCCTCGGGTTCCTTCAAATACGAATACACCTTGAATAAACTTACCTTTCTATATTCACCATTGTAAGTGAAAAATTTATCAATAGAGGAAAAAAAAATCGCCATCTTTTTATACATGGGGGGAAAGGTTTCAAAGCAAAGATGTAAAGATAGAGAATGAGGTCTTTGATTGGGGAAATACTAAGAGAGCTAAGGTTTCAGCATGGTCTTGGATATCCGGGTGATTTGGATAGGTATGAAAAAAGCTTGAAGTTGGTGGTGCCCAAGATATTACTGTTGTTGAATGTTGATGTTGATGTTGGTGCTGGTATTGATGGTTGGAGGGAATTGCAGTTGGAGGCTAATATTGAGACTATTGGCGAGTTGCAAGTTCGGTATTTAGCTGCGCAAGAGTCGAAATCGCTAAGTTTGCAAGATTTGGTCGAGCAATCTCGGTTTGTAACAACAAGAACCGAGATGGTTGATTTTGATGAAATGGTGCAAATCTTGAGTGAATTACGTTTTGGCCACGAAAAGGACAACTGGTCCTTAATTGATCAATTGAAACGCTTTTTGCTGACAATTATTGATAAACTGGAAAGTTTAGAGTGCAAACTCACTGATTATTTGAAGCGATGTTTGCTATATGATGCAAACTACTACAAAACTAATGTTGAAAGTAAAGTACCACAAGATTTGGAAAAACTAGCAAATTTGATTGAAAAGGAGGAGGCGGAGGAGGCGGAGGAGGCGGAGGAGGTGCAGCAGCAGCAGCAGCAGCAGCAGCAGGAGCAGGAAAATAAAGCACTAAAAGATTTGCAAAAACTAGCAAATTTGATTGAAAAAGAAAAGGAGGAGGTGGAGGATAATGATGATGATAGTGGCGATTCATCTTTTGGCCACAACAAAGAAACAGAAATTTACTATCCCTTGCAATTGAACATAAACAATTCTACTCTAGCTTCGATCTACTACCATCTATCAAGAACCTTGATAGTGAATAATCAATTAAGCATTACTCAAATTGCAGTTAGCATATTGAATGTTTTCAAGAAGCAAGAGCTAGTCTTGTTCTTTTTTCAAGATGAAGAAATTGGTTCTCAATTGATGCAGTTATTTCCTAGCAGATTTAATAAAACTACTTTTGAAGTGATGAAAATTTACTTTTCCATGCCGATATCAAGCTTGGGTCCGGGATACAAGGAATGTATGTACGACTTGAAAGTTATATCGACTGAATTAAGTCTGCATTTCCCCAACCTGAATCCAAATTTTGCACAATTATTCAAATATTATTACCAATGTTTCAAAACACTTCCATTAGTTACCGCAGAAGACCAGATTTATGTTCGGGACGTTTTCAATACGGTTACTGAAGTAATGGACTCTTTAAATGGAAGTGTTTCTGTTGGTGATGCCGTAGCCAGATTCATCCAATTGCAAAGGTTCCTAAGTAAAGATAATTGTTCGGAATCATCCACACTTTTGATGCGAGAATGCTCGTTTGAATACTATGATTTTAGAGGAATAAAAAGAGTTGTATTCTCGTGTTGGTTAGATAGGATGGCAAGACTCCCTAAGGTGGATAAGCGGAACTTAGACGAGGGTTTGTTGACGAAAATACTCAATCTTTGGAGCATGAAAACTAAGCAAATGCAAATTAGGAAAATGGAAACCAAACTGTTTTGCAAAGAACATCTTCAAATGAAGACCATTTTGAAAATAAAAAGAGCATTGCAAAAACAAAGAGTACGTAATAGCAAGGCTGTTGGAAAATACACTCAAAAGTTTTTTGAAATATGGCACAAAAAATGGTATACGCTTTGTAGCGAATTGGATTTAGCTGTTGAAGTTAGCAAAGATAGAATTCTTCGCGACAGCTTGACACACTGGAGAAAGATGCATTACTTGAACTCTGCAAAAGTTCAAATATTAAAAGAAAAATGTAAAGTTTATATAAAAGACCAAAACTACAGATTATTACATCATACTTGGACAAAATGGAATAAGAGGCTGAACTCCGATTCAAGAATTCAGGTATTGACTCAAAAGTTGAGCAAATTTGTGGAGATTGAACGTCAATTTATAACCAATGTATATTTCAAAAAGTGGTTTACACTATACGGAATGAATGTCAAAAGTGCCAACTTTAAAGCAGAACATCGTGAAAGGATTTTGAAGAAATCTTTTGCCGCTTGGTCATGCAAGTTAGAATTGATTCATGTGGCCACGGAGTTTTCCAGGAAATATGAGATACAGCTTTTGCAAGACATTTTTCAAAAATGGAGAATTGACGCTGCTCAATATGGCCAGTCGCTCTCATTTTATTGTAAGATCAAACTCCAAAAATATATAAAACAATGGAGACTTGCAGCAACGGCAATACGGTTTGAACTGCAACGGGAAAAAGCACTTATACAGAAATACTTGTTGGTATGGACGTCAAATCATGCAGCAAACATGATGCGATCTGCAAAACATTTGATACTTGTGAAAAACACGTTCCATCATATAAAGAAGGTAAGCTCGTTACACTCACTGCTCAAAGATCAAGCAGATACTTTCCACCAAACAAAGTTAAAAATAATGTCGATTAAACGGCTTAAAATATTTGTGAAACAAATCCAGAGCCAAAAAAGAGAAGCTTCGAAATTGTTGTTGAAACTGACATTCAATATTTGGAAAAGACGTTATTTGAAATGTTGTTATTTGAACGGAAAAGGTTTATTAGAAAAGTCTGTCCAAAAAAACGTGTTCTTCATTTGGCGGAATAGGTATGATGTTGCGGTAGAGGCAAGATTGTCATCAAATATTGACAAATTCCTTAAATTCAATAATGACTTAACAAGGGCAAAGTATTTTAAACTCCTATACGATAAGTTTGTCACGGAACAGAATAGAGCTAGTGATTTAGAGCTCATATTGTTAAAGTTTTCAAGCATACATACAATGTCACCGTTTCTCAATCATTGGGCAGAACAGAGCTTCAAGTTGGGAGAGTTGGAACAACGTGCACTAATGTTTGAGGTTGAAAACCTCTATTTTCATGGGTTCCATACTTGGTATGACAAATTATTGCAGCTAAAAAGCATGGAAGAGGAGGCTGAAGATTTTTTAGAACAAATAACTACTAGGCTAGCGAGAAATATTACACAGGGATGGAACCTCAAATATCGCAAACACATTAAGCGTAATAACCAATTATGTGAAGAGTTTCATCGAAAAAGTGAGTCTAAAAAGATTTCAGCTTTTATGAATTTGTGGCTCTACAAGTTAAGAGATTTTCAAACTGAAGATGTTGTTAATTCGACGTTTATTAGCAATCTGTCGCCACTTGCCAAAAGAACACTACTTCAACGACAGCGGCAGCAGCAGCAGCAGCAACAACAACAACAACAACAGCAACAACAGCAACACCTGACTCCTGAAAAAAGATCCTCGTTTAGAAAAACCACAACAACCCCTCAGTTTAAAGAACCAAGTCCAACCAAGCTTCAAGAAACAACGCAACGATTAAAGGACCAACAAGCTCGTAACTTACGTGAGAGATTCGCTAAGGTGAAGACGTTTTCACCGTCACCACCGAGGTCTCATCAAACTGCCCCAGTTAAGCTAGATTACAACGTAATTTTGTCTCCACCTTTACCATCTAACCAAAAGACCAAACATGTCCAACTTCCTCATTCTTACGCTGAAGAGGAATCGGATTTGGTGGTTACTGCGAAAAGATTAGGGAAAATTCAACCAATTGTTTTTCCAGTGGATGACCAGAGAGAAATGCGATTTTCGCCGATTAATGTTTTGAAACAACAGTCGAGGATAAATAATACTGTGTAAGGTAATAATATATATATGGATTTATACTTGTTCTTGTTGAGTGTTTCGGTATACATAGATGTAGTCTTTTAGCACCACTGTAGAGCGCCACAAGTCTTTCAAAGCCTCATTTGATCCATTAATAAAATCTTCCACAAAGATCCGAAGCATTCTTGGTATTGTTGAGCTGTCACTTCTCTGAGCTCTCAAAATTTTGACAAACATCGCGATGCTAATCCTATCAAAGATTTTAGATGTATGCAATTGAGTCCAACTGTTGTTGAGTTTTGTATTTGTAACAACAAAATCAAAACTGTTCAAGTCTACCTCTGTTTCTGTCTTGTCGTAATGAACATTCAAAGAGTGTAATTCCCCGAATCTAGTTACCCCCGTCATGCACGCAGAAACGTCGAGGTGAACAAAAATGTCCTGTGAACTATTCAACTGTTGTTGTTGTTGTTGTTGTTGTTTTACAATCTCATTTACATAGGTAAAAGCCTCTCCTCCAGGGTAGTTGAAACTGGATATGTAGCCCATCTGTATAGATAATAGGGCGCTAAGGATTGTCAAAGACGTAAAAATAATGGTTAAAAGTTTTGTTGACCAACCAAGGGTCCACTTCATCGATATATTGCTCAATCCATTGGCTGCTTGTAAAGTAAATATTGGCACTGTGTAAATGATGAATCTCCATTCTTTGTGAGGTTGAAAGGACATAGCAGCGATGAACAACAAAGAAGATATGAATAAAATGCGCAAAGAATGTCTTGCTGGGTGGGTCAAAAGATTATCCTTCTTGTTTGGATTGCTATCATTTTCCACTTTTGCAGGGTCATTGACAAATCCCGGGACTACTAACAACAATATAACCGGTGGTCTGAATAATTGGAAAAGGTATTTTCCAAAATATGCACCCCAAGGTTCTGTGCCCCATTTAACTGATTCACCATCCACGATATTGAAAACAAACGACTCCAATTCAGGTAGCAAATATCTCCCCCAGAAATAAGAATCAACCACAAAGGATGTACATCCGCCAAACACTGCGCCTGCCACCAAGAATATTACGTTAATGAAAATGTTTGATTGCCCAAAAACTAGCGAGGAAACCACAGCTATGATTGCCGCAAACACGCCAACTTCTAATCTAAATATAATTCCTGTAAATGAGAGCCACGTCAAACCAGACAAGTCGCCAACAATCAACTTACTCAATGCGAAATTAACCAATGGTAAAGCCATAAAGTTGGGTAAAGTGCGTGATGCATAGTAAACCAAATGAAACTGGCAAAGTAGCAAAACTGAAAACCAAAACCCAATTAACCCCTTTCTCAAGCTTTTTTTATCACGATACGTTATTCTATTGACGCTATCGCGAAGACGCATCAACATTAGGACATTGATCAACCCTAAAATACCTCGAACAAGACTTTGCAAACTCAATTGGCTGCCCTGTAGCAAATTCACACCGAAAATTGAACTTATAACTATTATGGGCTTTGCAATAGCTGCTAAAACCAAACTTCCCACAAAAGTACGCGGCACAACTCCAGGAAATTGTTGATGATCGTAATTCATCAACTCCTCGCTTGAGTAAAAACCATAGTTAAGAATATCGTGTACTGCTTGGATGTTAAATGACTCTTCTACTTTTGTATACGGTGAGATGACAAGATGATACGTCATCAATGCCACCAACGCGGCATCTAGTATCTTGTTTAATCTGTACATGCTAAGAGGAATGGAACCAAACAATTCCCCAAATTTTTCAGTTTTTTCCAAAATTTTTCAACTCTTGAATTTTTCTTTTTAAAGAAGTCATTTCCTGATTTATGTGTGGGAATAGAGGTCATTATGGATGAGGAAATACCCGAATTGGTTACGGAGTTGCCTGAGAATGGAGAGATCAAGACGGAGAGGTATATTGCTGAGAAATTTGTTCCCTTTTCGCTGACTCCAACGCCGTTGCGGAATCAAATACCAGTAACTATTGTTACGGGGTACCTTGGATCAGGGAAGTCGACATTGCTAAAGCAAATTGGCCTAAAGTCAAATAAAAGACTAGCCATTATACTCAACGAGTTTGGGGACTCTTCTGTAGTTGAGAAATCTGTCAGAATTGAGGATCAAAACAATAGCATTGAAGAGTGGTTAGATATTGGGAACGGGTGCTTGTGCTGTACGGTAAAGGACAATGGAGTTGCCGCAATTGAGAATCTTATTGAAAGATCTAAAGATAAAATTGACTATATTTTGTTGGAAACCACTGGAATTGCCGACCCTGGTCCAATAGCAAACATGTTTTGGCTAGATCGAGGATTGGCATCGAATATTTATGTTGATGGAGTGGTGACGGTAGTTGATGCTGGCAATATTGTAAAAAGCTTAGATGACGTGAATAGTCAGGAAAAACCTTTGGACATAACCGCTGCTCATCTACAAATTGCATTGGCGGATGTAGTATTGTTGAACAAATCAGATAAAGTAAGAGATCTCGAAACAGTCACTTTAAGGATCCAGTCAATCAACCAAACGTGCCCAATTTACCCAACAAAGTTTGGGGATATTGAAACTAGTAAGATTTTGGATTTGCATGCATTTGACGCTAATGCCAAACTCGTGGAGAATAATGCCAAACTCGTGGAGAATAATGCCAAACTCGTGGAGAATAATGCCAAACTCGTGGAGAATAATGCCAAACTCGTGGAGAATAATGCCAAACTCGTGGAGAATAATGCCACATTTCATGGTGACAAAGTTATCACGGTGACACTTGATTTCCCATTCTTTAAAGAAGTTTCTGATTTCGACAAGATGGAAAAGTTTCTTCAAAAGATATTATGGGAAAATAAAGCCAATGGGAAACCAATCGAAATTCTTAGACTAAAGGGACTTTTGATCTGTAAAGATGATGTTCGAGTGGTTCAAGGTGTACGAGAAACCTACGAAATTATAGAGAATGGCGTTTTACTAGACAATGTAGATCAGAACAAGTTAGTACTTATAGGAAAGGATTTGAATCTGGACGATTTGAAACTAGAATTGGAACATTTTATATAAGATCCCCGTACTAGCTCCTAATAGCTCCTAATAGCTCCTATTAGCTCCTATTAGCTCCTAATAGCTCCTACTAGCTCAAACCCAGCTCATACCCAGCACCTACTAGCTCCTACTAGCTCCTACTAGCTCCTACTAGCTCAAACCCAGCTCATACCCAGCACCTACTAGCTCCTACTAGCTCCTACTAGCTCCTACTAGCTCAAACCCAGCTCATACCCAGCACCTACTAGCTCCTACTAGCTCCTACTAGCTC